GCATGCGAGCCGCAAAGACGATGAAGGCCGCGAGGCGGCGCATTTAGGCAGCCCAGAAGTGGGCCTAGGTTGCGTTGGTCACAGGTCCTGCCCCGCTGATTGTGATGGCCAAGCTGAAGGGCTGGGTACATCCAGAGGTCGACAGCCTCGGTACCAAGCCCTCTCCCTCAGGCCATCGCCGACAGCCAGATGGACTATGGGAGCGACATCTGGCGAGGAGAGGCTACTTCTGAGATACCTTCGGAGAGTAACGTGCTTGGCGGCCAGGACAAAGAGCGCTCAAAAGGGGAACGTCCAGGGCAGGATGCAACGAGTTTGCCTGGGGAGTGAAGCCGATCCATTTCGGCCTAAAGGGTTCGGTTTGGCGGACGCCATCAGCACGCAGTTCGAATGGATCACCTGGACGACGATCAAGAGTCTGCAATGGACCACACGATCGACTAGGGACCGCACGATCGACTAGGGTAGCGACGCCGCCGACTTCCTGAGGAGCTTACTCCACCACGCGCTGGACGCGCCCAAGGTTGGTGACCTCCGGCGGGCAGCGGCGTCTTCCAAACGGCGCACGGGCACGGTATTCGATGGGCTCTCGCCTCGGGCCTTCTGGCTGCAGTCCGACGAGGCGCTGGCCCTTGTCGCGAAAGTCACGCCGGCCGCATAGTCCTGGCCCAAGTGGCCGACGGCGGCCGTTCTGTGCACATCACGCTGCTCGCAGACCAGCGGCCGGCTTCAGGCCTATCGCATTGCTCCCTGCCATGCACGGGCTCTGCGCCAAGGCGCGGGTGGGTCCACATCCGCAGGTGGGCAGTTGAACATGCGAGGCCGTTCTCCGCACTCGGCCGATGCAAGTCCACGGTGAACGTCGCGGGTCGCACCGCGGTGCACGCGGAGGCCGCCGAGAAGAAGGACGGCGAGCTCACTGTCACCACACTCAGCATCAGCATATGCTTCGACAGGAGCGTCTGGACGAAGACCCTTCCCGCGGCGAAGCTACACACAACTCCCGCGCGGCGGCGCTCGGGATGTCCCAGGCGCCGAGGCGCGTGCGAGGGGGCACGGCCTCCTCGTGCGCGGCAACCGAGTGGGTCGAGGAGTGCTACCGGGCTGCACGGTACGGCGGTGCACCTGCTGCAAATAGTCACGACCACGCCGTTCGCTGTCCTCGTGGCCTCCACTTACCGTGTGCCCAAGTCCCTTGACGTGTACGCGGATGACGTCACGGTTCAGATCGTCGAGCACATCGTCACCGTCGTGGACACGGCCGCGACGCTGCTCGATCGCCTGGCCGTCGGGCTGCCGGCCCTCTGGATGCCTGTTGCGCAAGACCGGGCCAGGGTTGCCCAGCTCGGACCCCGACGCGGCGCGGCAAGAGGCGATGCGCACGAAGAAGCACGGGTTCAAGGCAGCCATCTCGCTCGACATCCTCGGCATGACGACGCGCGCGAGGCAGCCTGCATCATAACTACGCGGCCGCCCACGCGAGGACCAGGAACGTCGAGAAGAGGTTGAACCAAGCGATTCTGGAGCTCCCTGCGCTTCGCGAGGAAGGTGGCGACCCCGAGCCTCGGGCCCGCCATGCAGTATGGGGTGCAGGTGGTGAACGCGCCTCCTTCCACGATTGCCCTATGACGAAGATCGCACGAGCAGGATAGGGCAAGACTCCTGCTGCCACGTCCAGGTGGCTGGCCTCGCAGCTGGAACCAACGCTGCACCAACAGCCAGAGTGCATCGCGACGGCGGAGCCGTTGTTCACGTGCCCGCAAATGGTGATGGACGGCGTCGTGTCACATGAGGTGCTAGACAAAACGTGGAGAAGGCAAGAGCATCTGCAACAAGGCGCGCGAGTTCCATGGAAGCTCGTCGCGGGACCAGCTGGAGCTGTCCTCATGTGCCTCAAGAAGCTGAGCTGGAGGTACACCAACTTCGCCACGTGGGTCACGGGCACAGGCGTAGAGCTCGACCTCACCACCCTGGCGCCGACCTGGGTCCGAAAGGTGGCGAGAAGGGAGTTCGTCAACGTGAAGTGGGAGTCGTGGGCAACAGCTCGGACGTGGCGCTAGAGACGGATCCTTCACGACGTGAGCCCAGCGGCCACTGGCCCGAGCCGCTCCGCATGATGCTCACAGCCCCCCCGACGGCCACGGTACGGAAGCTTGGCCGCAAGCAGAGCGCTGTACGAGCCGAGCTGTACGCCATCATCCAGGCGCTGAAGCACGCCATTATCCTGTCAAGATACGGACGGACTGTCGCAACATCGTGGAGTCCGTCATGAAAAGGCCGGCATGGTGCCTCCATATTCGTCGAAGACCGCCTCGACCTGTGGGGGCAGCTCTGGCACCTGGCGCAGGAACATGGCGGGCTATCGGCCAGCTTGCAGATCGAGTGGGCTCCTGCGCACCAGTCGGACCAAAGCATGAGGACGTCGCCTAGTCGGTGGCTCAACAGGGTCGGGAACGACTGGGCCGACTTCGCGGCCAAGAGGGGCTTGCGGAAGCGCGATGTCCCAGAGGCTGCGGTCGCCCGCCCCAGCGAGCTCCTCCTGCAGCTGCGCCAGGTGGCAGCGCGGCTCGGGAACTCCCGGGCCAGCGCCCTCGGCTCCGACGCGGCCCCCAACGGGATCGACACTCGGGCGCAACAAGCCCTGACATGGAGCTACTGCAGGGCGACCGACCGCAGCCTCGCCGCGAATAAAGAGAGAGCCCACGCCGAGGCCCCCCTCCTGAAGAAGCTGGGCCGGAGGCGTGCCCGCTGCCCCGGCGAGCCGTGCAGGTGCGCCGCCGCGCCGTGCCCCCGCTGCCCCGCCCCCGTCCGAGGCTCGCCCAGGGCCCGGCCCCCAGGCGGGCGCCCCTGCAGAGGGCGCCCCCGGCCTGGCCAGGAGCGCCGGGAGCCGTGGAGGAGAAAACCGGTCCAGGTGGGTCCGAGTGGGTAGAATGTCGGCGCCGGGTCGGGGCCCCGCTCCTCCCGCCCTCGTCCTCGGAGGAGCCTCCCTGCCTGCCTGCCTCCTCCACCTCCAGGCCCAGCCAGGTGCCAAGGCCGCAGGCGGGCGGTGGGTTCACGCGTGCGGTGCGCCCTCGGGTCTCTTTCCGTTCGCCCCAGTGCTCGAGCCTTCCCCAGAACCCGCCGAGGCCCTGGGGGGAGCGGTGGGGGGTGGCTCGAAGAAGTGTCCCCCTGGCAGGTGCCACGCGGTCTATGCCGAGGCCCCGCTGCCTTGCTCTGGCCCTGTCCCGACTCGGACTGCCCGAGGCCACCAAGTGCACATTGCCCAGTATATATATATATATATACATATATATCGGGTCGTGCAGCAGCGTGTTCGACCCGAGGGGCCCGCTCGCAATTGTATGATTTCTGTGGTCCCGATCAGCTCGAGGACAACCCTCTGCGAAAGTTGCGCAGAGATAGCTTCACGGCGGTGGTCCGCCCAAAGAGCGCAAAAGGCAACCCAAATATTCCCGTGCCCCGACCCCTCGAGGTGACGGATGAGGCCGTGCAGTGGCTCGGCCGAATTTCCATAGCTTAATTTCTGTGATAACTTATCTGGCTCGATTCCTTTGTTTGCACCGCTCGTGATCGGTTGAACCTCGAGGGCCGCTTCGACGATGTCGCCTCCCCACGCCTAATTGTGCTGATTGCTTCATACAGCGTCGGTATGGTCCTCGTTCTGTGAGAGATTGTGCTGCTATTCTTCTCCCACAGTTCATTCAATCCTGGAACCCGAACTCGGCGCGTCTTCTCGTGTGCTCGCTGCTGCTCCTCCTCCTCCTCCTCCTCCTCCTCCTCCTCCTCCTCCTCCTCCTCCTCCTCCTCCTCTTCCTCCTCATGTCATGTTTCTTTTCCAATAACTCCTCCCTGTCAGACCCCGAGACCAGTCGGAAGGACGGGTCGGGAGTTTCGCCTGAAACTTCCTTACCACATGTGGTCCTGAAGCTTAAGAATTGGCATCAGGCTCACGCATGAAGGCGGGCGGTTCTGAAAATGTGGCGCTCGCCCGAGCGCCGCGCGCATTCGCCTTAACAAATTGCAAGACTCTCACGGATGGAGGACGGGTCGTTTTCAGAATGTAGCTCTCGCCTTAGCGCCGCGCACATTCGGCTTAAATGCCCGCAAGGGCTTCACGGATTGAGGGCGGATCGCCTTCAACGTGCGTCCCTCGCCGCAGCCACGCGCACATTTCGGCCTGAAAAATTCAACGGCTTCACGGAGTGAGGGCTGCTCCGTTTCCGAAAGTGTGGCTCTCACCTTAGCGCCGTGCGCATTCGTCTCTTCCAAAAATTGGAAAAACGATGCAGGACTGTCGGGGGCAACAGTCACGTTGCTTCGCGGTGTTGAAGCCCAGGATTACGGCACTCTGGCAAGATCTGGGATCGTCAAGACGCAACAGTCAGCTTGACTCCTGGCGTCGCAGTCCCGAGAATGGTGTTTTGGCACGCTTCAGCATCTTCAAACAAATCATCTCCCAACGGGGACTGGCGGCAACGGGTGGCAACGGGCGGTAACTGGCCGGAACGTGGCAAATCCTCTCGCAACTCCGGCAGGCGGCAACAGCTGGCAACGGGCGGCAATGGGCCAGAACGTAGACAATCCCCAGGACACCCCCACGAGCGGCAACGAGCGGCACCAAGCCGGAACGTGGCGAATCCTCGAGATACTCATCCAAGTCCTTCGAAATGCAAGTCAAAAAAAACCGAGTATAAGGACTGCTCGGTGAATAAATTCGTAGCAGTTCTGAGCAATGTGAAGCAATGAAAAAAATACTCTGCAAAGAATTACTTGGCACTGCTTGGCATTGCTTGGCATTGCTTGGCATTGCTAGGCATTGCTTGGCGCTGCTTGGCATTGCCTGGCTTTGCTTTGCATTGCTTGGCTTTGCTTTGCATTGCTTGGCGTTGCTTCGCATTGCTTGGCGTTGCTTGGCATTGCGTGACGTTGCTTGGCATTTCTTGGCATTGCTTGGCATTGCTTGGCATTGGCATTGCTTGGCATCGCGTGGTTTTGCTTTGCCTGGCATTACTTTGCATTGCTTCGCAATGCTTCTCATTACTTGGTATTGCGCAAACGAGCAACCCGGGCAACCGGGAAACCCCAGGCAACCCCGACGAACGCTGGGCAACGGGGCAATCCAGGGAACCGGGGAACCTCGCGGAACGCTGGGGAACTGCGCAACGAGGCAACCCAAGGAACCCTAAGGGCGACAGATCACTAACAGCCCCAAACCCACAGCAAGACGGACCCTTTAGGCAAGGCCGACCAATACTAGGGAATGGGCCGAGAACGCTGGGATCCACGTCGCGAAAGAAACATGACGTCTGGGGTCTAGGAAGGCCTTGTGGCAGGCACAGAGTTGCTCCAGGGTGGCTCAAGGAGGCCCCATGCAGGCTCGAAAGGGGCAAAGATGGCCCTAATGCTCCAAAAAGACCTGGAAGAGACCCAAGAGGGTACTGGGCGGTACCCACGAGTGCCCTCTGATAGCCTCAATGGCCCAAATGATTATCATTCGCCTTCCAGCCGCGTCGACGCGAAGCATTGTGAATCATTAGACGGCCGCGTGCTCATGTGCCAGGCAGTTCGCCCGATGCGAGGTGCCATCGCAGAGCAAGCGCGCCAGGCCATCTCCTCATTCTCACTGGCGACGAGTCCACTGTCCCGACCCCGCACCCTGGGCTCCGCATAATGACCATACTTGAACGCGATATCCGCGTTCGACATCCCAACGTTGTGCAGGTGGCGGCCGGCAGCGCTGTACGGTAAACGAGTACGAAAGTTGCGCCCCGTCCGCACTTCCTCGAAGTCTATCGCGCCATTAATCAAGCAGCGCGCCATCGCGACTTTGGGTTTCAACCAGTCTGGCTTCCGGACGGGGCAGTCGGCAAAATACTCGTAGACCTCATGAAAACCCTCGCTGGGACCACCAGTTCAACCCTCCATGTTTCCCACAGCCCTCCGTGGGGGAGAGGGAGGGGGGGAAGACTGAGGGTCGACTGACGGTTGAACGAGGGTTTCTATACGCAAGCAACACATATCCGCTACCGCCCCGGAGGCACCGCGGGGAGTGTCCTCAAGCCCCGTCGAGTTCTCAGTTTTGAACTTACTAGAAACTCTTACGGGCCGACTGAATTTCTGTGCGCTTTCGGCCTATCTTGGGATTCGTCGTGCGGCTTTCCCGTAAGTCTCGGGAGCGCAGTTCGGAATCCAAACATCCAACGTGCCCTCAGAAATCCAAACATCCAACGTGCCCGAAGATTGGCACAGAGACCCAGGGAAGAGGCGCCCAAGAGGGCCCCAAGAGGGCAAAGAGGGGGAACTCGCAAGGCCTCGGGAGCCATCCCCCCAGAGATAGCTCCTGAGACCGCCAGCACTCCCCCAACAGGCGCCCAACAGACCTCCAAGCGGCCCCCAGAGAGCCCCCCCGAGACACAGAGACTTCCAAGAGGCTTCTGGTCCACGACCCAGACACTGGCACGCCCGAAATGGGTACGGAGGATGGGTACGATGTCCAACAGCAAATATTGTCCAAAACTGGAAGAGGCCGCTGATAGGCAGGCGACGCTTTTTTGTCTCGAACGGACAACGTCCGCGGCGACGCCGACAGCGAGTCCTGCTCAGAACGAAGAGGAACTGGTGCTGTGTTTCGGCCCGTTCGATCGTACCGATTCACCACCTTCGGGCCTCAAGCCCCTAATCCCCGGGACTTTCGGACGCTACCAGGCGCTCCCAGGCGCTCCTGCGGTTCGCCACACGACTTGAACGTGACATGTTAGGAGGCAGCGTCCTGGGAGGTCTTTGTGGGAACGATTAAAGGGGCTATCAAACCCGTTTCAGGGGCCAGAAAGCTGGATCAGGCCAGACTAAGCTAAGAATAAAACTGAATCAAATGGCGTAAGTCGGAAATGAGCGGGACTAGGCCAGATAAACTCGGCTTTCCACAACGGGTACACCAGCGCCGATGATGAATTCCACGTTCAGGAACTGCATCCTAAGGCATGGTCCCATGGGGACGTCCCGATGCTGTTCTAGGGGCCTCTTGAGCCGTCTTGGAGGCCCTGGGGGGCTCCCCGAGAGACAAAAAAATGAATCAGTGTTTGCAAGCGTGGAACCCCAATACTGAGTGTGTGCAGTGAGGATGTGCAAGTCATGTGGCGGAAGCAATGCGTGCAGGCTCGGGGGTGGAAGCAATGTGGTGCAATCTACAGGTATATAAATAGTATGATTATCCTTATCAGCATTATTACTTTTATTAATAGTATCATTGGTATTCGTATTATTAGTATCCTTTTTACTATATGATTGCTATGAGTATTAGTATTAGCCTTATTAATTTCAATAATAATAATAATAGTAATAATAATAATACGATTAACATTAGTATTAGCATTAACAATATTATGAGTAAATGTGTAGTGCACGTTCTGTGGTGACGCTTATGTGGTGGAAGCAGTGGGGTGTGTTAGCTAGGTGGTGCAAGATATGTGGTGCAATTGATGCGGCGTCGGCTGTGAGATGCAAACAATGTGGTGCAACTGCAACCGACGTGGTGCAAGCCGCTCCTCCTCCCCCACCCTCCCTCCTCCTCCTCCTGCTCCTCCTCCTCCTCCTCCTCCTCCTCCTCCTCCTCCTCCTCCTCCTCCTCCTCCTCCTCCTCCTCCTCCTCTCCCTCCTCCTCCTCCTCCTCCTCCTTCTCCTCCTCCTCCTCCTCCTCCTCCTCCTCCTCCTCCTCCTCCTCCCCAAGCTGTGTGATGAAAACTGCGTGGTGCAACTGGCCACGAGGCGCCCACGGGGTTGCAACGGGGCGGCCACGAGGCGGCAACGAGGCGCCCACGGGGCGGCAACGGGGCGGCCACGAGGCGGCCACACGGCGGCCGCTGGCCCGTGCACGAGGCGGCGACGACGAGGCCACGGGCGGCGAACCAGCAAAAACCCAGAACCTCCACCTCCTCCTCCTCCTCCACCTCCTCCTCCTCCTCCACCTCCTCCTCCTCCTCCTCACCATCCTATTCCTCCTCCTCCTCCTCCTCACCCTCCTGTTCCTCCTCCTCCTCCCCCTACTCCTCCTCTCCCTCCTCCTCCTCTCCCTCCTCCTCCTCCCCCTCCTCCTCCTCCTCCTCCTCCTCCTCCTCCTCCTCGGGGAGGTGCAGGCCCTGGGAGGGGCGAGAGAGGAGCGGCGCGCGAGGAAGGAGGTTTTGGGACGACTCTGGAACTGCCAGCCCATCGCTTCAGAAAACACCCAAGAGCCCCGCAAGCACTATCTGGGAATACGCTCGCCAGCCATACGAGCCAAAGGCGTGCCAGCATCTCTGGTCTCTGCCCAGCTGTTCGTATACTCCGCGCGGGCGTGGCGGCCATTTTGAGGGCCCGAGGAAGAAAAATACCCCGGTCAAGTCCCGGCACGTTCGGGTGACGGATGCCGCAAGAGCGCCTGGAGGGAGCTCCAAGAGTGCCTAACAGCGTCTGAGAGCGTCCGAAAACGCACAAGATGTCCTCTTGACGGCTCCCGGGGCCTCCTAAACGACCCTAGAGGACCCCGAGAAGACCCTGGAAAGCCCCGAGAGGCGAAACTCACTCATTTCCCATAGGTCTTTGGAGGATTTCAGTGTTCTCGCTAGTGCAGGCTTCGAACGCTCAGACAGCCCAAGAGGCCTCCACGACGGCCCCCCAAGACGGCCATGAGCCCCCCAAGACTGCCCAAGGGGCTCCAAGAGGGCCCAAGAATAGGACAACGAACATACATTGCCCGTGCTCCGCCCCAATAAGACCTCCAGAACCGCAAGAAAGCCCCCAAGAGACCCCCGAGGGGCCTCAAGATACCCCCAAGACGCCCCCAAGAGGCCCCAAGAGGCCCAAAGAGGCTCCAAAGAGGCCCGCAGAGAGCCCAAGAGGCTCCCAAGAGGCTGCCCCAGAGGCTCCCAAGAGGCCCCCAACACAGGCTCCCAAGTCCCCCAAGAGACCTCCGAGAGGCACCCTAAGAGACCCTCACATGCCTCCAAGAGGCCTCTGACCCACAACCCAGGCACGGTGGCGCGGGCTGGTCCGAGGGCTACGAGATATGGGTCGCCAGGATTACGGGCCGCGATGATGCAACATGGGCCGGGCGAAATGAGCAAAGTGCTGAAATCCAGCATGCCCCCTGCAGGCCCTCGCCGAGTGGACTCGCGACAGTAGATGATGATGAAAGGCAGGATGATGGAGGAGAGAGAGAGAGAGAGAGAGAGAGAGCTGCATGCATGAATGCATGCTGGGAGCGGCATCTCGCATTGCTCCAGCCGGTGATGTTTCCATGATGATTCCCAAATTCCATCAATTTTCTTGAAGAGACAAAATTCGAGTAATCCGCGTCCCCAGCCATCTGAGGCACGTCTGGGAGCTTCAATTTGGCCAACCCCTCACGCACTTTGTGCATTATGGGAGCTCAGCTTGCCCCGCGGACGGCTCCTCGAAGCCTCAATTCGGCACACCTCTTCCGCATTTCGTGCCCCTATCGACTCCTGGGTTCCCTGAGTTGACCCCTCGGTTCAATGGAGCTTCGATTCGGCAAACTCCTCACGCATTTCGTGCCACATGGGCTCCTAAGACCGACTGCCTCCCCAAAAGACGCCAAGATGGTTTTGACGAAAGATCGCAAGGAGTGGCACCGACCCTCGTCGACACCATACCCCAAGCAGCCACTGATTCCAACATCTGAGTGCGAGTTTCCCCTGGGGTCCCGCCTTGACTCCCGCTCTGCGGGCTCAATTCTTCCATGATGTTAGCATACTCGCTTTTTCGACCGTAGGAGCGTCCGCGACGGCCCAAGACGGCCCCATCACCCCCAGGAGGGGCCCGAAAGGTCCCCAAGAAGACCCCAACAGAGCCGAGAGGAGAACCTCGAAGAGGCCCGTGGGGTCTCAAGGTGGCTCTCGAGACCCTCCCAAGGCCCACAAGAGACCCCCAGAGGCCTATCAGAGGTCCCCAAGAGGCCTCCAAGAGGCCTCCAAGAGGCCTCCAACAGGTCCCAGAGACGCTCCGA